TTTCAGTTTTTCTCCATTCAGAATGATATTGGCCTTGGGTTTAGCATATATAGCATTTACCATGTCGAGGGACGTTCCTACAATCCCTAGCTTTTCTCATGTTTTGAACACGAAGGAGCACTGTATTTTGTCAAATGCTTTTTTCATCAATTTATTTCTGTACATTCTAAAGTCTTTCACTGACATTTCTTTCACTGAGGTGTTGATGGATTATTTTACTGAAGTATCTTGATTTGCTTAGGGTGATTGGTTTCCTTACTTTTTTGTGTTATTTTTGTGTCTACCCATCTAACAGTATTTATCAGAGGCAGTAGAGTTTCTACCCTGTAGACTTATGGTATCACTGAAGGTTTCCAGTACCTCAACGTTTAGGGGGAGACAAATAATAACAACAAACAAGGTGAACAATATAAGACAGTAACCCAAATAGTTCCTGCTATGACATGTACAACATTCAACATTAATTGTCACAATAAACAAAAATGATATGATCAGTTATGGCCCAGAGTAAAAGCATTAAATTTGAAAAAAAAAAGGCTTACAATTTCAAATGGTAGACAGGGAGAGAACAAAAGTGATGTAGGAAGTGATGATTATGAAGGAGGAAGAGAGAAAATACAAGTAAAAATTTAAAGAAACAGTGAAAGAGAGAACAATAGAGTTTGACTGTTAGTGGAAGGAAAGAGAGAAAGAGAATCAAGGGAAACATAAGTGAGAGAAGTATATATATATATATATATATATATATATATATATATATATATATTGAAATTTTAAAAGTTAATTAAATTAAGAATAAAAGAATACAAACCAAAATTGAAATTATTAAACAAACATCCTAGTCCTAAAAAATGATCCAGAAAAAATATTGGCTTCAAAAATGCTAGAAATGCATAAAAACACAAATATGAATATGAATAAATGTTCATGAAATATTAGGGTCACAATTAAACAGAAAAAAAAAAGAAAAAAGATCTCCATTAAAAGTTAAACAATTTTTGTTCAATAAAGTTCAAAAGATTCTCAGCCTCTCTTCTCAGCAGTGCTAGGTGGTGTGGCCTGGACTGTGATGCCTGCTCTTCCTTCAGGGTGGGTTTGCTGGAGTGAGAGAGGAAATCCTGCGGGTCAATCTTCTATAGGTGGGTTTTAGGCATAGCTGATCTCCAGATTTTTTGTTGAATTGCAATTTGGAGATTTTAAATCAATTCATCTCCAGGGCCCAGCAATTGTCAGGCTGTGATGGAAGACTGCACCCTAGGGATCTCCCCAGGGTTTCACTTATTCAGTGAAGGAGAAGATTCATTCCCCCTGTCACCTGTGGACCCTACATTTTCTGCTCTGGGTTCAAGTCTCCTAACTCAACATCTCCTGCCCCTACCCTTTTGAATTTTGAGCCAGGCACATCTCTCTTAGCCCATCTTTTGAGCAACTGGAATTGGAATTGGAGGAGGAGAGCTGGATGGGTTTATACAATCACTATTCTCCTGTGTAAACTCCTCTCCAAGTTTGATTTTCCCCTAGTGTCACTTAGATACACTCTATGTCATGCAATGTGGGTTTTCCAGGCCCATATTTCAGGCCAAATTCAGATTTTCCAGGAATCAACTTCCCCAGCTGCTGTACCCTTCATTGCAGCTGCAAATTGAGTCCTTCCTTTGTTCTCTGCACACTGTCAGGAGAGATGCAGTTTCTCTGAGCACAAGAATATTGTGCAGAACACCTTTCAGTTTAGTTGGTCAGTGTCTTTGATCTCTGAACTCTCCATGCCTCAGGCCTCCTAAAAATGAAGGTTTCCTTAATTTCTTTATCCCTTCACTTTGCTTGAAGAAGGATAGCTCTGACTGGGACCTCCAATGGCAGCAGTGGCACTGGGGTTTTCTTCCTTATTTTATTATATCCAAGCTACTGAGTCGCCAATCTGCTTTAAATGTCCAGTATTAGTTTTCAGCAAAGTCCCTCTTTTTTTTTTCTTTTTTCCACTCACCATGATGTAAAGCTGCTTTTCTGCAGTCTTGCTCTCATACCACAGAGTAGTCAGGAAAGCAACCTTCTCTATTCCATCATCTTGAAACATCCCCCCTCTATTTTCTCTTTATACCTTTATTATTATTAATAGAATAATAATTATTATTTTGGTGGTGGTGGTTTATTTTATACTTTAGATTTGGAATTTTTAAATAAAAACCTTGGAAACAGAGTATCAAGAATTTTTTTTTTTAATCTCTTCAGTGGGCTTCCTGAAATTTAGCATCTTTCTCTTCAATTTGTCAGTCTCTTCTTTGTTTCCCCTATTCATTAGAGGTCTTAGTTTTTTGTTTTGTTTGTTTGTTTTTAACTCAGAGGCACTCAGCCACTGAGCCACATACTCACTCCTATTTTGTACTTTATTAGGAGACAAGGACTCACTGAGTTGCTTAGAGCTTTGTCATTGCTGAGGCTGGCTTTCAACTTGCTATGCTCCTGGCTCAGTCTCAAGAGCCTCTAGTATTACAGAAGTGCACCACTATGCCTGGCCTATTCATTAGACTTTCAAAGACTATTGTTGAATACTTGCTGGAATGCCCCACTGTTTGTATTTTCTGTCTTCACAGTTGTATTCAAATAATAAGCTGTGGGGCAATAACACATAGATGAGGTATTCTGATCTCATATGATAGTGAGTTCATGATAGAAAAGTGAATATTTGGGGTGATATGAGACTCAGTCACATTGTTAAGATACAGACTGTCTGCCAGATTTCTTATCTATAGAGTTTCCATGTTTCTCTCTGCATTACTTAATTTTTGTAAGTCTGTCACTCAGTAAAATATATACTTAAGGAGAGGGTATCTACATATATTATTTGAAGTTGTTATGAAGAATTTTTCCTTTTTTATCATGTATTTTATAACAGTATGGATTTATCAGTATTTTATTGTTTTTTGAGTTACAATACATTATTTTGATACTCGTATTGCTGTTGAGTTATTCTGACTTTGGCTATGGGAGCTTTCTTAGGTTGTTTTTTTCTTTTTATCTTTTTTATTTTAAAGAGAGAGAGAGAGAGAGAGAGAGAGAGAAGAGAGATAGGAGAGATAGAGAATTTTTTAATATTTATTTTTTAGTTTTCAGCAGACCCAACATCTTTGTTTGTATGCGGTGCTGAGGATCAAACCCAGGTTGCACGCATGCCAGGCGAGCAAGCTACGGCTTGAGCCACCTCCCCAGCCCTATATTTATCTTTTTGACTATTCTTTTTTAAAATATAAATTATCTCTAATAAAAAGATTATATGGCTCATAGTTATGTCATTTTATACAGTACACATAGTTAAAATACATCATTCTTCTACTCTTTCAAGATGTAATTCTTGCTCATACATTCATTCTTTTTATTTACTCCATGTTTCTTGAGTACTCACCATTTGCCAGTCTCTGTTTTAGGAACTGTAGATAGTCTAGAGAATGAGATCAGTGATGTAATAGGGTGCTCAATGGAGTAGAACACCGTAGACTTTTGTATAGAATTATGGCTTTTTCTTATGAAAAAACAAGATGCTCCTGTAGTGTACTGAGCAGATTACTAAATTAATTGCTCAGATATAAAACCGGATTACTCAAACTGCTATGTTAAAATGAACTATAGTTTGGCAAATGTTCCCAGGGAGATCAATTGGGAAAAATGATAAAAGTGAGGCAGATGATGTTATGATAGCTATGAGGATAGTGAATAGATTGCATTCTAGATTTCTGACAAATCAGATGTTAAGTATGGGTAAAAAATCACTCCAAATGTGGAGCCCAGAACAACTGAGTTAAGGTTATGCAACACATGTGCACAGAAGTATATGCAAATGCTTGTGCAAATTTCCACACATCATTATATTGAGTATAATGATGATGTACAACATGAAATTATAACTGAACCATATATAAATGAAACTGATGTCCTTATTGTATAGTAAACATTTGAAAAAAAATTATATTTATTTTAAAAAGTAAAGGGTAACCTCATATACATAGCTGAAATTTTTTCCTCCATACTTTTAGCCATTTTCCTTTAAATGTTTTTATTTAAAATAACATTCTAGAATGTTCTCCTTTAATATCCCTTTGAATCACTGACAATATATTTTAGAGTATTTTTTCTTGCTAATTTTTCTTTAACATATATAAAATCTAAGAATAGTTGCAGTATCTTTATGAAGATCTCTCTTTCCAGGTTGTTTATCACATTTCATTGTTTATTCTGAGATTATTTAAATTTGCTCCAATTTGATGTTGTGGGAAGTGTGATATTTAGTACTAATTTTCTATATCAATTCAATAATTTTCCGAAGACACAGAATGTGTAGAAATGCTAAAATAAGATTAGGTTCTTCTCCCTAAGTTATAAAATTGTTGTCTACATATTCTAATCTCATTGTTTACCATCTTTTCATTCCATGTATTGAGTGAAAACTTCACCATTTTTTGATGTGTTATCTTGAGTTTTTTGAAATGTATAATAGTGCTGATGAAAATAAATCTCTCAGAATGTTGTAAATGTAAATGTGCATATATATTAATGTATATATATATATATATATATATATATATATATATATATATAAAACATTAGTCTTTTCTTAAGATAAATTTTAAAATGTGTTACATAATGCAATTTTTCATAATTGGAACTTTGAAATGGTTTAACTATATTTAATTAAAGTTAAATATAGCTTAATGTGAATGTGCATGCAACAGTGTGCATGTTTTTGAAGATAAGTGCATCCAGAATTCAGAAATAATAAAAACTATCTATTTTCATGCTTTGGAATCTCAGATAAGACTGGTCATATTAAGAAGCAGAGATAAAAAGAGACAGCAAGAAATAATTCAAATGCTGGTAAAGTAATACCCTATCAACACTGCAGCAATTCTTAATGTGTGTTATATATAGAAATAAGATCAGTCATTGTTTTCAAGCCTGCTAAATAAAACTGAACTCTCGGAATGGCATGCCACTTGACCTCTCAGGAGTTCGCCAGAGGTATTTAACTGGTGTAAAGGGGACTCACTTGCAAGTGTCTCCTGTTTGCATGACAGTTTCTCCTGCTAGTTCACACAATGTTCAAAAGACACAAGTCCCTTTCCTCAGATCGCAAGCGAGAATTATTCTTCCAAAGAGTTTCAAGGTCCATAATGAAGAATGATATAAGAAATTTCCACTCTTTGTCGCAACTTGTACTCTCAGCAGGTCCTCTAAAAGCAACTCCAGCAGTCAAGCACTCAAAAACTACTCACTTTGAGATAGAAATCATTGATGCTCAAACCAGGAAACAGATATGCATCGTAGATAAGGTGAGTTTTATTTACTTAATTGGTTTAATTATATCTCAAACAAAGATTATTACTCCCTTGATTAAATGCTGACAGGACTGTGTTAAGAAAACATTCCTAACTTTTAAACTTAATTTTAAATTGAACAGGCCAGAAACTTTATGAATTGTTTCAGGGGAAGATATTTGCTGTGTTTTCATATTCTATTTAAATTAATTAAATGGTAAATAATAATTAGGATTTGCTTTTCCAGATTTCTGTTGACCATTATGCCCAAGTGAATTTCTAATGATCAATTTCTCAGCCTATGATAAAACTATTTCTAGATTTTCTCATCAGGCACTTTATTGCATGTGCAAATTAGTATAGAATTTCAAGTGTTTGTAGAAAACAATAAGCAAAATGTCATGGAAGTTACCAGTAGCAATACAAAGTATTTATCATAAAATCTAGCCATTTTAAAACTTTATGTTAAGGTGTTATTTGACTTAAAAAATAACTTTTGTTTGTTTAAAAACACAAGTTCACTTTTGTTTTTTTAAAAACCCGAGTTCAAATTCCTGAAAAGAATGTCTTTTCACATTCATCCAATTTATATTCAGATTCACAGATGGATCATTAAGAAATGATAAAATACATACATCTCAAGAGAGAAAATTTAAGTGTGAATATATGTGCACATTTTAGATATACATATACATGTAAAAAAATACAAAATAATTTATTTCTCATAAAGTTGAAAAGTAACTAGTTTATGAAGAGAAAGGCTGATGTTTTTAATACAACATTTCCTAATTTATTTTGCTTTAAAAACATGCTGCAAGAGTGTTTGCTGTCGACTTAAAAATTATATTCAATTTAATCATTAATTCCATTTAATCATTCTCTAGATGGGCTTTTAGATAAGAGGAAAAGAGAATAAATTATTTACTGCTTTTAATTCCCAAGATCATCTGTAGTTTCATGTTTACTAATCGTAATAACATAACCAATCTATTAATTGTGCAATATTATTTATTTGTGATGAAAAAAAAGATTAAGGACTTTTACAATTACATACAGATCATAGATTGTATTTAATAGATCAAAAAATTTTCTTTTTCTACAATTTTGAATAATATGCTTTTTAATACTTTTACTGGGGCATATATGTGATTAATATATAAAATAGAATTTTGATATATTGATATATGGACTTCATACATGATATAATTTCTTTTTACTATCTCAATAAAGGTTTGGATTTTTTAAAAGCATACAAGAATATCATAAACTTAGAAAATAAAATTAYCAACCAGAATTTGCTACTGTTTGCAATATCTCATTATCAATAATCAAAATTGTATAACAAGGATACCATTAAATCAGGGGAGATTAGACAACTAATGGAATAGAAAGAAAGTAAGTCAGATTGCTACCTTGAAGTGGTAGGAAGTAATCAGTGTCTAATTAGTTCCTTCATACATGTAAAATATGTATAACTGAGATTTTATTTGAAGGTAAGAGGAATTTTTGTGTTTCTAGATATCACTTAGTTTGAAAAAAAAAAGAAAACATTCAGAAAGTCACCATTCTTAAAGATTTTTTCTTATTAATCTCATATGTGAACTGTTAGAGTCCTGGTATTTTCACCTCAAGTGGAAAAACTTTATAGAAGTCCAGTAGGCTAAATAGGAGATTAACTTTGGATTCCTCACCTTCCTGTACTGCACAATCAATTTATAGGACATACAACATACTGTATTCAAACCTTTGACTTCACAGTAGAATTGAATTGTATTGTTTTCTTATTTTTATTTTGTAATTTGGTAAATTGTTTCATAATGCTTATGGCACACTTGAGAAAAAAAAAGTGGATGGCTATTTTTTTTTTTTGATTCAAGATTCCTAGCAGTTTGCATTTATAAATATCAGAAAGACAAATTTTGTTTCTTATTCATGACACTGTTTTTCTTAGACAGGTTAGTAAGCTATTTAGTAAGATCACATTAAGCCCTGTTTTTTGAACTTGGCTTTTACTCAATATACAAAAGAAATGTTGCTTATCACTTGGTCCCTGTCTTTCAATACTTATCATGTTACAAGTTAGTACAAGTTAAGTATGATGTACTTTGGAACTAAGCATGCCTGAATTGAATCCTTGCTACATCATGCCTAGGTATGAAGACTAAAAAAAAGCCAATCAGTTGCTTCTCCCAGGGCTTTTATTTAGAATATAGGTTAATAAAATCTGTTTTGTGAGCTTATATTAAAGAGAAGAATAATGCCTTAAACATTACAGTAACAATTTCTTTTAATTTTAATAACAATTTTGAAAGACAATGTGGTTTATACCTAAAATCTAAAAGAAAGAAAACTTTTATATCTGGCTTAAAATTTTAAATATGTTTTTTGATATTTGATTATCCAATGACATGACAGTAAACCTTCTCTCCTTCTACTAATTTCTACAGCTTCAGCCTTTTATTGTCCTTGCTTTCAAGTGTTGTAATTGTCTACCTCATTTGGCTTTTCTCATTCTATGTAAGTCTCTTCTATTACTGCTCAGAATCAGAGCTTGCTGACATCACCAGTGAGGCAGTCTCAAAAACTTTTGCTAAATTTAAAAGGCCATTCTCATGCTATGGTGACAACATTTTCCACTGTTAATAAACTCATTTTTTCTTTCTTTTTTTTTCTTTGTGGTATAGGGGATTGAATCCAGGAGTATTTTACTACAGAGTTGCATTCCCAGATCTCTATCTCCTCCTCTTCCTCTTCCTCCTCCTAGTCCTCTTGCTCCTCCTCTTCCTCCTCCTCCTCCTCTTCCTCCTCTTCCTCCTCCTCCTCCTTATACTTTCTCCTCCTCTTCTTTCTCCTTCTCTTCTTCCTCCTCCTCTTCCTCCACCTCCTCTTCCTCCTCCTCCTCTTCTTCCTCCTCCTCTTCCTCCACCTCCTCTTCCTCCTCCTCCTCTTCTTCCTTCTTCCCCTTCCCTTTCTCCTCCTCCTCCTCCTCCTCCTCCTCCTTCTTCTTCTTCTTCTTCTTCTCTCTCTCTCTCTCTCTCTCTCTCTCTCTCTTCTTTCTTATTTTGGGACAATATTTTGCTAATTTGCCAAGACTAGCCTCAAACTTATGATCCTCCTCCCTCAGCTTTCTGAGTTGCTGACATTATAGGAATGTAATCGGAGCCTCTTCTATAAAATATTTTGTTGAATTTTGTTGAGTATAGGTAGTTTAACCTGTAGTACTTTGTTGGCTACTCCCTTTCCTTTCTGCTGATTCATTATCTGGTGTATTGGGTGTGGATGCTCAGCTCAGACATAGGAACTTCTTTCCATCTTCAGCAATTGCCATATTTAGTTCTATAGTTACAACTATCATCTCCCTATTGATGACTTTAAAGTTCATAACTGCAATCTATTTCCATTCCTGATTTTTTTTTGTTCATCTGTATATCTAGCTATCTAGTTATCTATCATCTATCTAATCTATTTACTTATGTACAATCCATCTGGATCTTTCTAGGTATTTCAAACTTAGTATATCTAAAACATCACTTTGTCTTTTCCCAATAATATTCAACATTGTTCTCCAAATAAATAAGTGGGAACTACATTCTTCAAATAGCTCAAGGCAAAGACTTAGAGGAGTCCTTATTCATCATCTCTTAATCTCACCCCACATGAAATCCATCTTCTTGGCATTACCTCCAAAATATCTCCAGACTTTGACAAACTTCCACCACCTCTAATGCCAGAACTCCTAAATCTTTACCCTGCTTTTGTCATAAGCACTTTCAATGTATTCCCTACATAGAAACCAGAACCAGCCTGTTGAATTATGTCAGATAATACCATGTTCTTCTCAAAACTAGTCAAAGCCTCCTTTATATCTTAACAGTTAGGTATTCCTGCAAACCTATTGACTATTTAAAACTGCTATTTAAAACACTATTACTTTTCCTGTTTTAATTCTTTACTGAATTTATTACCATCTAACATACATTTTTAAAATTAGTTTATTATTTGGCTTACCTTAATGTGTCAGCTTCACAAAGCAAAGATTTTGTTGGCTACTTGTTTTTCACTCCAGTATTTTCTGGGTTTATAGCAGTGTTTGGCACAAAGTGTTTAACCAGTATGTAATGAATAAATGGACAGCTGTTTGAGAAGTATGTGGATTTGAAAGTGCACATATCTAGTAGTGAGAGTTTTAAAGTGGACGAATATAATATTGAAAATACATCTATTTTATGAATCGAATTATTATTGGAATAAATGCAAATACATTAACTTAAAAAGGCATTTTCTAAAACCATTTCACCAAATCCCAAATTCCTCATAGCCTTCCCCAAACACAGATGCAGATAATGTAACTTTGTATTTGTGAATAATTCATTAATAGATAATCATGCTCTGATGACAAAAGTTAGCACATTTTAGCAATATCAGATGGAGATATTGAGTTAATTAATTTAGTTATTTCCCATGAGTGCTTAGCATAATATAACCAATTAAGGATGATTCAAACTGAAATATCAAAAATAAATTTTAAAACTTTTCTTTTAAATTTTTTTTAGTTGTAGATGGACACAATCTTTATTTTTATTTGTTTATTTTTTATGTGGTACTGAGGATTGAACCCAGGGCCTCACACATGCAAGGCAAGTACTCTACCACTGAGCTAAAACCCCAGCCCCTAAATTTTAAAACTTTAACAATGGATGATTTCCAGTTGTTGCCTATTTTTGCCTTGCTTCTATTTTGGTAAATGTCAGAAGCTTATCTGGTGATAAGTCACTGAATTGAGAGCATGACAAGAACTCTAAAAGCTAGGACTGAAAAATGTTTCCAGTATCTTCCCAGTCACTCTTTGATCTTTTTTCCAAGGAAATTGACCTCAAAAGATCACTTTTTCTGGTGATTTTTTTTCATTATGTCAAAATTCTGAAAAACTTTCTTGATTTCTTACAAATAAAACAAAGTGCTTAATGATTTTCTAATCTTTCTAGTGGCCAAAATAACAGAGAATAGTAGGGAGC